TATATACATTTGACTATGATATTGTACAAGAAATATATTTTGACATTGAATAAAATTAGAGCTGTCAAAATGGACCACCCAACCCTAAATAAGTCGGTTTTGGCAAGTCTCTGACTTTTTAAGACTGTACTAAAAAACTCTGTTGTAATATGAACTCAAAAATTACTTCCCAAACCCGACCCTAAATAGATTTTGAGTTACCCAACCATAAATAAATTTTTTTAAATAAATAAAAAAAAACTCTATAATATTTATTATAAAAAAATTTAAAAATTAAATCATTTTAAACATAATACATTTTTAAGTACTATATTATCTTTAATAAAAATTATAATGTATTTTAAATATAATATGTGTCTAACGGGCTATATAAGTATTATATAATGTATTTTAGTGAAGTGAGAAAAATCAATATATTATTTTTGAATAAAATAATATAAGTATTAATATAATTATGCGGGTCTAACGGGCTATCCGCAACCCATACGCGCTAACCCTAATGGGTAGCAGGTTTAGGTTTTTCAGGGTTATGCTAAAAAAACTCCAAAAAGTATAAACTCTAGTTTTAAGATCTAAACTATATAATTTTTCGGATTTGATGAACGGTTCATATGAGCTAACCTATTTTAACAACTCTAAATAATACATATATTTTAAAATAGAAAAAAAAACATGATTTTTTTGTTTATGATTAAACTGCATAGCATCTTTTTGTCTCAAGTAAAAATTATAAAAAATTTTAACATATTAAATTTTTTACTAATCTAATCTAATAGTTAAATTAATATTTTCACTGATAACCATTCGATTAAATCTAATTTAAAGACTAATATTGTGTCGCTTATATATATATATATATATATATATATATATATATATATATATATATATATATATATATATATATATATATATATATATATATATATATATATATATATATATATATATATATATATATATATATATATATATATATATATATATATATATATATATATATATATATATATATATATATATATATATATATATATATATATATATATATATTCTTTTTGCAATACACCAAAGGCAATTAAAGTGGTGATAAACCACAAGTGTACAATTATATTTATTATAATATAAAAATTTGTGAAATCCACGTACACCAATTACAAATCGTTCTTATAAGGTAAGGCAATTTAAGTGATTGGTTTTATGAAAAAAGTAAAAATAACATATTTAAATTGATGTTAATAACGAGAGATCTAAACAAAACTCTTATTTATCAATTTTATTCATATAAATTGTATTATTTAATTATAACGAGAATTTTATTATCGGTAAAAAATATTAATTTGTGGTAACACCCATTTTCATCGGCACGTTACTGGACCTTAAACCTGCAAAATATCAGCTTACACAATATAAAAAGTAAGTTTAAAAAATTCTTTTATATGTTAAAAGTAGTTTACGGTTAGTTTAAAATGCTTTTGTTATTTTTAAATTAAAAATTTGAACAACGATGGTAGATATCATTTTTCGCCATTTTAGTATGTAAACAATATCTCTGCATTCCTACTTTCATAGTGAGTATTTTCTTCTTAGCACAGAAAATTCAAAGCGAAAACTTATGTATTTTCTCAATCAATCCTAACCTTGCTTTTGCATGCCGTCAAAACCTCTCGTTTGAATTTCTACGTTAGATACCAATTATGTCATTTGAGTGTGCAACCAATATCTCGCTGTTTCTACTTTTGTAGCAAACATTTTTTATTTTAAAAGTAGAAATTACAAAACAACGTTTTATTCTCGTTAAAAGTTAAATATTCGAGCATTTCATATAAAATTATCCGATAAAGTACCCGAAAAGTAGGGCTGGAAATGAGTCGAGTCGAGTCGAACTCACCTCAGCTCGACTCGACTCGTTAAGAATTGGTTCAGCTCAAATCTCGGCTCGAGTTCGACACGAACTCTTTTTTAAGTTCAAACTTGACTCACTATTAGTTTACGAACATTTCGGTTCAACTCGTTAGATTCATCTCATTAGATTTAGTTCACATGGTTCACAGACTTAAAAACTATTTTTTTAAATCTATTTCTTTATAGTATATTTGACATTTTAAATTAATATTTTTTTAAAATAAAATATTAAAATAAAATAAAATTTATCATATTGAAATTTAACTTTATCTCTAAAATCTACTAATTCAAAATCTACACAACTTTTAAGAGATACATTTGAGAGTCTAATTCAAAAACTACTAAATTGAAGATTAAATTTGCCTAAGATTTGGAGTAAATATTTAAACCTAATCTTAAAGACAGTATAATTCTTCTCATATGTAATTGAGTTGACTCATGAACCTAACGAATTGAACTATGCATAGTTCAAGTTCACCTCATTTAATTAACGAACCTAATTTTTTGCTCATATTCAATTCATTTGGTTCATGAACCTAGTTCAACGATTTAATTATCGAACCGAATTTCAAACTATTTTCGAGTTGGTTCGGTTCATTGTCAGTCCTACTGGAAAGTGAATAAAAACTTAATCTTGCAATAATTAATTGATGTGAAGGAATACTTTTGATCCAGTACAACATAAACACCCTAATGAAGAAAAATAACTTTGCATAAACACCCTAATGTTAGATATGTATACTTTAAAACAAGTAAATTTAGTGTTTTAAATAAGCTTGGCCTCCATGTTTCAAGTGTTACGGTGCTATTTATAGTAAAATTTCGCTCAGAAAGTAGTGCAAATTGGGCAAGAGCGAACGTATAAAAAGTGGTGTAACATAACCGTTGTTTGTGGCCTATTTTTTAAGAATTGGGCATCATGAGTAGGGATGAGAATGAGCAGGGTTTGGGGAGTGTACTATAATACCCATTCACATATCCGCGATTTAAAAAAGTCCTCGTACTCGAGTCAATACCCGCTTGAGCGTCAAAGTTAGCACTCGTACCCGTATCCTATGGATATGTAAGTACCTGTACCCGTTACACGCATTTATATTAAAAATAAATAGATCAATTATAAAATATCATATCATTTCAAAATTTTAAAAACATTAAAAAACTTTTAAAAAATTTATTGTAGAAATAAACAAATACTTATATTAAATACATAATGGTTTAATATTGATAAACTTTTTAAAATTGATAGACATACATTTATATATATATATATATATATATATATATATATATATATATATATATATATATATATATATATATATATATATATATATATATATATATATATATATATATATATATATATATAAATACTATTGTGCGAGTATGAGGGCGATATGGGTATCAAGGTGTCCATATCCGCACCCATATCCACTTATTTTTATGAGTAATTATCCGAACCCGTGTCCGTATCTATTTTTGCATATTTTTACCCTATCCATTAGGTATAATTTAGCGGGTGTCCATTGAGGATGGATCAATTTGCCACCCCTAGTCATGAGGCTGACGGTACGCCCGTCATGACGTCCTGAAGATAAGTCTTGATCATGAGGCCATGGCAACTGTCAGCTGGTTGACGATATGTCTGTCATAATTTTCAAACGCGCGCTCCTTATTCCCATAAAGACAAAAAAAATGTTTAGGAAGCGATCAAACCAAATGATGTTCCACCTCAAAGTGAGAAATACAAATTTGTTTAATTTTATATCAAATAAAAAAAACAAAATTGAAGTGTGACAAATCGATAATCACCCACAAAATATTACCCGAAAAATTCATTGACTTTAACCTTTAAAAAATGACAAATACTTAAAAGGAAATTTAAAAAGCTCAATTACTATTTAGAAAGTTAGACAATATTCCGACCCAAGTCCACAGTATCACATCTATCTCGTTGGATTGAAGAATGTGAGCGTAATATATCAAACAAAATAATTGTCCCAAATCAAAGCTTAGAGACTAAAAAATCCAACTTATCAGTGTAATATATGAGCCATCCTTACTTAACGTGTCAATGTTTTTTCTTCAAATAAATGATATTGTATTTACAAGGTATCGTCCGCTTTAAAACATATGAGTCATGCTTACCTAATGCGTCAATGCTTGGTCTTCAAATAAACAATATTGTACTTACAAGATATCTTCCGCTTGAAGATTTTTATGAGCTATTAGAGTTTGGTGATTTATAAAAGACATCTTGTTAACTTTTTTTACATACCAAACATAAAAGAAGAAGAAATTAAAAAAAAAAAAAAGCCCAGGAGAAAGACATGCCATGAAAAATGAAACATAATGCCACATGCCTTGTCTTGAGCATCCATTCCTATGTACTTACTTTTCCTGACTTATAAAAGTTGAAAGCAACTAACAGCCTGTCGTTATTATATGAATAATACTCACTCCTCCTATATCAATATCAATCAATACTAGTATATATCATCATCATATGCAATTATGCATCTTCCTTTCTTTTCTCTCTCAATCTTTTATACACTCTAGGAATAGCAAGTAACCCTATATTTGGCAAAACTAATTATTTTAATCATTTTTTTTATTTCTTCTACTTCTCACAAGTCACAACCATCGTATATATCATCCAGGTCCTTTTTTGCCTCACTTTCATCACTGTTCCTATCTCTCTCTCTTAACAGTATCTTCAACTTTTTCAATACGTTATCCATTTTCCTGTGTGATCCACAATTTCTTAGGTATGTTTTTTAGGTGTACTCTCCCTATAATAGAAAATAGTTTTTTATTTTGATTTTATTATTTACTGTATTGTGTACTCACGGAATCCATTCATGTCAGGCAACGAGTGGTGGTTGAAGGAAGAAGTAGGCATCCTTCTGCTACAATTGTCTGCTACTGCTAGTACTTTCTCTCTCTTCTCTCTCATCATTTATTTATTTTCTATGTTGGTTTCTTTATCTTTACTTCATTGTATGTTGTAGAGTAATCTGAATTTCTTTGGAACTTTTGTTACTTGATGACACCTAGGTAGTTATTGTGTACTAAGCATAGGTGAAAATTGTGTTATGGAGTGGAATTTGAAAGCTTCTTCATGGGATTTGAGTGGTATAGAAGAGACAACAGCATTACCTAACATAGAAACAATGGAAGAATCAAACAGATTTGGAGTTTATAAGACCAAAGGGGAGTTTTCTGTTGACTTGAAGCTTGGTCAGGTTGGGAATTCTGCTACTGAATCCTCATCATCACCACTTCCTTTGTCCAAAGATGTTTCTGCTTCTGTTTCCAAAATTGCGTCGCCTTCTTCGTCTTCGGGGTCTTTTAAGAGAGCTCGAGCGGTTAATAACACTGCATTGACAGTTTCGTGTCTCGTGGATGGGTGCAATTCTGATCTTAGTAATTGTAGAGAGTATCATAGGCGGCATAAGGTTTGTGAGCTTCATTCCAAGACTCCTGAGGTTTCAATTGGTGGACTCAAACAAAGATTCTGCCAACAGTGTAGCAGGTATATGTGTATACATAGTTATAGATTGCTTGTAGTTTGTTCTATTAGTTTGTTTTTTCCTTTATTGGATTTTGTAATTGAATCCTTATCCATTGTTCATGTTAGCTTCACAAGTACTTTTGTTTGCTATATACCTTTAGCATCTTCTTTAATTAGCTTTCTTTATTTTTTAACCAAGAAGAATCTCAACAGGTGAGAAACCTGCATATTACAAGTATCGTGTCTGATACGTGTGAGTGTCTTGAAACCAACATAAATCCAATACATATGCTTACATTTAGATTTAGTTATACCATTTTCTCAAATGACTATTGGTGTCAATGTGTTGGTTTGTATCTGGTGCCTGTGTCCGCGCCTATGTGACATCATGTTAGGTGGATGACTGTTGGTGTCAATGTGTTGTTCGTATCTGGTGTCCGTGTCTGCATCTATGTGACATCATGTTTGGTGGATGATTATCGGTGTCAATTTGTTGGTTCGTATCTGGTGTCCGTGTCCGTGTCTATGTCACATCATGTTAGGTGGTTGAGGTTCCTTAAGTCCTGAATCTTAATTTCCATATTTTCGCAGGTTCCATTCGCTGGAGCAATTTGACGAAAGAAAAAGAAGCTGCAGGAAGCGTTTAGACGGGCACAACCGAAGGAGGAGAAAACCTCAGCCTGAACCTATCACGCGACCTGCTGGCAGTTTTTTGAACAATTACCAAGGTTAGCTTTTCTACCACATTATTATCCTGAGTGTGGACCCATTTGCATATATATGCTTAGATTTGTTGCAGAAGTTGGCTAAAGATCCGCACATAGATACAAAAATATACAGTATATCAGAAGAGTAACAAGATTCATGTGTGACAACACAATGTATGCACTTAGCTAGATGAGTGCGTCTGATTTGGTCCATTTATGTTCCCACAACCTCATGACAGTCTAATGGCCACTAATATAATATGTCAAGTAGGGTACATATACCAAACAAAAAGATTTTGCTCAAACATATCATTTACAGACACCATACACGATATTCACACAGTGACACTAACACGTCGATACCAATAAGTTTTACTGCCATACTTTTTCAGGCACGCAGTTGCTGCCCTTTTCAAGTTCTACTGCCATGGTGAATTCGGCTTGGAGTAACGGACTCATTTCATCCTGCGAAAGTGGTATGCTTCACATCCACAATCAACACCAACAAGTTCCGGTAATTGACAAACAAGATCTTTTTCTCGGTTCTACTGCAACCAGTTATGGAGAAGGGAAGCAACTTCAATTCTTACACACCGACAACAACATTCCCTCACTTCATAACCAGAACACACCTCTTCTAAGGACTAGTAACAAAATGTTCTGTGATAGCTTAACGAATTCTTCAGTGAACGAATCTCCTTGTGCTCTCTCTCTTCTGTCATCATCACAGACACACGCACCTGAGAATGGTTTGAACCAAATGGTGCAGCAGCAGCAGCCTCATTCAATGTCCCTTATGCAGCCCTTAGGACTGAGTCTGCATGGTAATAACAACAGCTTTGAATCTATGGATAGAGTTTTGGTCCCTAATGGGAGTGAGAGTGATCATTGTTCTTCATTGTATAACATCGCTTCGGATGGTTCACAAGGCAATGAAGCACCTCAACTCTTCCCCTATCAATGGGAATAGGTCATTTTGATTATCAAAAGTGTTCAATCTTTGTTAGTTTGTTTCAGATGAATTCTCTACCTACGGACTACTTAATTATGATTTTCCTTCTTTAGTTAATAAAAGTAATGTACCATCATGCAATTTATATCTGTGTTTAGGAAATGAAACACTTGATAATAACATTCCAAATCGGATTTTATGTAAAATGCCTCTGGCAAATAAGATTCCTTTAAGAGATTAGTTGTGAGCTTATGGTGTACTTTAAATATCATAATTATCTATGTTAGATTTTTAAATTAATTATGGTTAAAGTCAAACTTTTTAATAATTAGATGATTATAATTAATTGACAATATTTTGTTGTAATTGTATGTTTCGGAGTGGGCCAAGATTCAATAGGTCCAAAATTGGATCAAAGAAGAGAATTTTTTATTCCACTCTATGGGAGTGGAAAAACACTATTTGGAAAATCCAAAATGTCTTTTAGATCCTGGAGATTCATTTCTAGACGCCCTTTGAAATGTTAAATGAGCCGGAGGTGCATTTCCGTAATATTTTAAAACATACACCATACATCCCATTTAGTAGGCATTTTACACGATTATTGTTCCATAGATGCATCTTCGTTTATTATACGGAGATACATCTCTGTAACCTATCAGAACAGTGTTGGGAGGTAATTCACAACACAACGAAATAATCAAATAACACAATCTCTCCCAAATATCAAATGCAACGACAATCAACAAAACACACCAAATAACACCACACAATTTTAGCGTGGAAAAACCTCAGTTAACAAGGAGTTAAAAAACCACAGGACCCGTAGGCCTCTTAAATCTCCACTACAATCAAACTATGGGTACAATCAAGATTCTCTCTAACACTAGTTAGAGGCATACATCAACACCATCAAACTCTACAATCAATCTTGGAATACAACAAGAATCGAATCAAGAGAAACAATCAATAAAATACAACCACAAAAAACTGCACCTCAGAAGTGGACTCGTCAGACAGACTTAGAATGCTCAAATTTCGTTCTCCACCGTTCAAAATGTACCTCAAAGAGTTCTGAACGTTGTCACCAAATATCAGAACAATCCGACGATTGGATTGTGAGAAAACTCCGATATCGTGGGACTGCTCAATGCTGAATTGGGACTGCGGGAATTTCGCCCTTCTCTCAATTTTTCATTTGTTGTTTCTCACCTTATGAATAGTTGACCTAATTCTCTTTGTTTTATAATAACAAAGCCTTACACACACAGGCTACTAACCCACATTTATTTGGACCACTCCAAATAGGAAGGATAGCCCAACAAATTCCCCCGACCCACTAGATGGAGGACAACACCAATCCGGTTACCATGCGACAACACTTAAAATTTCCCCTAGGCAAGACCTTCTTCAACATATCCGAACTATTGTCATCGGTGTGAATATTCTCAAGCTCCATCAACTTGGAATCTAATGCATCACAAATCCAATGATAACGAACATCAATATCACCCACTTCACGACCTCCCAATGATCTTTTCACGAACTTGAGAGATAACGACTCACCATTTCCACAATATGAGCAATATCGGGTCTTGTATAAATCATATCATACATAAAACTACTAATGGAAGATGAGTACAAAAATTTCTTCATACTCAACTTCATCCGTGAATGAACATAGTTTATGACTAAGCCTGAAATGAGAAGCAAGTGGAATGCTCACCGCTTTAGCTCTATCCATACTAAAACACCGAAGGACATTCTCCACATACATTTCTTGTGAAAAGCACAACTTCTTCTCATTTCGATCTCGAACAATTTCAATACCAAGAATTTTCCGAGCCTCTCCTAAATCCTTCATAGCAAAAGATTCACTCAAAGTTTTCTTTAACTCTTTAATTATTGAAATATCCTTTCCAACAATTAGCATATCATCCACATAAAGCAAGAGAATAATGAAATCACCTTCAGAGAAATTCTGAAAAATACACAATAATTGGCTTTGATAATCTTATACCCATGTTCAATCATCATCGAGTCAAACTTTTGATATCATTGGCGAGGTGCTTATTTCAAACCATAAAGACTCTTTATCAATTTGCAAACATAGTCTTTTTTTCCCCTTCTTTCGGAATCCATCCGATTGCTCAATGTAAAGAATAGAGGCTATCCTAAGAACCACTCGAGTAGATTTCATCTTCATAACCGGAGCAAAAATCTTGCCAAAGTTAACACCTTTCCGTTGTTAAAACCTTTTACCACTAAGAGAGCTGTGTATCTTCTTTGAGAAGTACACTCATCTTAATAATTCGATAAAACCATATATTCTTCAATGCTTTTTTACCCTTTGGCAACTTCACTAACTCAAAGGAATTATTCTCACGAAGTGATTGCATTTCATCCTCCATGGCAATCAATCTACTCCTTTTTGTTCTCATTCTTCAAAACTTATTCAAAGCTTTCGGGTTCTCCACCATCGGTAAGAAAAACATACTCGTTCGAGGGGTATCAAATGGAAGGCCTTTTATCATGAGTAGACTACCTCAACTCATCAGAAGCAACCGATTGCTCAACACTTTCAACCTCTTGATCAACCTCATTCTCAACAACGTCTTCCGTAGCATCTACATCAACAATATTATTAGGATTTAAAACATTATCAACATTCAAATCCATACCTTGATTTTCTATTGGAACATCTTCGAAAGTGATAGGGGTAGGAGTAATAGTAGTTGAGTTCGTATTAACTATTTCTTCATCTTTAAAAATCAGATCTTTATTCTCAAATTTGTCGATGTCCTCAATGGTATAATCCTCCAGGAATATTAAATCATGACTACAAATAACCTTCCGTTGAACCAGATCAAAGAATCAATACCAAAATCATCAAGACCATACCTAACAAACACACATTTCTTTGACTTCTAATCCAATTTCGATATCTCATTCTTCGGAATATACACATAAGCTATGCACCCAAACACCCGAAAATGGTCGTAGGAAACATCTTTACAACTTCAAACATGATTTGGAACATCAAACTTTAATGGAACACATGGAATGAGGTTTAAAAGATATACAACCGTGTTTAATGCTTCTCCCTAAAATTATTTTGGCAACTTTGAGATTTTAAACATCTCACCTTTTCCACCAAAGTTCTATTCATTCTTTTAGCTAACTCATTCAATTGTGGTGTCTTTGGAAGATACTTTTGATGACATATACCTTGATCTTGACAATACTTGTCGAAAGGTCCAACATACTCTCCCCTATTATCAGTTCAAATACACTTGAGCTTTTTCCCCATTTCTCTTTCAATCGATGCTTGAAACGACTCAAAATTATCTAACACTTGATCTTTTGTCTTCAAGGTATAAGCCCAGGTTTTATGAGAATAATCATCAATGAAAGTCACAAAGTAATATTCACCACCAAGAGATGGTGAATATTTCAGACCACATACATCAGAATGTACTGAATCCAACACTTCTGATTTCCTCTTTGGTTCGAATGACATAAAAAGAAACTCTCTTTTGCTTACCCGCCAAAAAATGCAAACACTTTCTCAACTTTGCATTGGAAACACCATATAACACATTCTTCTTTGCTAAAATGCTCAAACCTTTTTCACTCATTTGACCTAAACTCTTATGCCATAATTTGGATGAGCTAATCATTGTCACAAGTGTTGATGTAGCACTTTCAAACCCCAAGTTGGACGATATAGAAGTTTGAATTCCTTTTTCCTTTAGTAACCACTATTGATCCCTTCTTTAGTTTCCATTCATTGTCCAAAAAAGAATTATCATATCCTTCATTATCCAACTTTCCAACAGATAAAAGATTAAATCAAAGTTTTGGAATGTGTTTCACGCCTTTGAGAACTAAAGTAGTCTCATTGCTAGCTTCGACACAAATATCCCCTATTTTGGTGACATTAGCTTGCCCATTATTTCTCATATGAACAACCACAAAGTCACCGGTCTCGTAATTTGAAAAAAGATCACGTCTCGAGGTTGCATGAGTAGAAGCACCACTATCAACCACCCAATCCATCTCATCACATGATAAATTAACAATTTCTATACAACTATCACAAACAACAAAGAAATCATCAACAATAGCAACATATTAATTATCGTTACCTTCCTTTTTGTTGTTGTTGTAGTTCTTCTTATTGTTTTCCATTTTTAACTTCCGGTAATACCTTTTTATTTGTCCATTTCCCCCGCAATGATGACACTCAATATTAGAGAATTTATTAGAGATTTCTTATGATTTATCATGTGATGTCCCACGATCACTTGAATCTTTATATTGATGTCTCCCCCTCGATTCAGTAACCAACACCTTGGAATGTGAATAAGAACCATGTGACTTACGCCTTAACTCTTAATTTAACACACTACTTTTAGCCAAGTCCATCGAGATGATACCATTCGGAGCAGAATTAGACAAGGATGTCCTAAAAGTCTTCCAAAAATTAGGAAAAGTAACAAGAAGCCACAAACCTTGCATTTCATCATCAAAAATAAGATTCATCACCGACAAATGATTTAAACTACCTTGGAAAGTGTTCAAGTGATCGGTCATTGGTAAACCATCACTATACCTCAATGACATCAATTGCTTGAACAAGAACAACTTATTGTTCCTGTATTTCTTGCATACAACTCCTCAAATTTGGTTCGAAGAGAGCTCATATGTGTAACACCCTTACAAACCCCACGAAAAATATATGAATAATCAGAGTAAATAATCATGCATTCACAAAAGGGGGTCACACATAACTTTCAAACATAAAAAACCACCTGTCATGCTCATTAACACTTCAATAAATAATCATACTTTTCAAAGTTTCACTTTGCATGTAGCAGCGGATTCAATTGTATCACAATCTTCGAAAAAGAAACATTTGAATTCACCACTTAAATTAACATCATTAGGAATTGGGGCCAACATCATAGTAATTCAATAAATATAAAAACATAGTATGGAGTACATAATGTATCTCT